TTAATTAAATATAATATAATTATTATATATATTTTTATATTTTTATAGCGGTCTGGACATACCAAAATGAGAGGGATCCAAAAATAGTATAAATATGAGATTGTATAGTTGAGGATGACTTAAATGAATTAATTTGTACTACTTATATTGACGACATGCTTTAGCTTTTCTATAGCCCATCTCATCAGAATTCCACAGTTAAGCGTGCTTAACCTGGAGTAGTATAAGGATGTGTGACCTTATGGGAAGTTTCTTAGAAAATGTGTAATAAGGACAAAACACATTAAAAAGTGAAGTGTCATGAAATAACATCCTTGAAAGGCCAAATATGAAGTTTGTTACATTAATAAATTTATTAAAATTAAAAATAAAAATAAAAATTTCGTAGGTAATGTTACCTACGGAATTTTTTCGTAGGTAACGTTACCTACGGAAAATTTTCGTAGATAACGTTATCTACGAGCTTATTACCTACAAATTTTTTTCCATAGGTAATTCGTAGATAATTAACAGTTACCTACAGATTTTCATGCTTATCTACAGATTTTTCTGTAGATAATATTGATTTTTCTTGTAGTGTTAGCTTCTTCTACAAGAGCAATGTGTAATGCATGTATTGTAGACAAAGCTTCAATATATTTTAAATTTGCTTTCCAATTGACAACATTCCCAAACAAAGTGAGTATATATTAAATAAAGATTTCATATGTATAGTTTATATCAACATACCCACAATAGTTTCTCCACTTTGAGGAATATAATTGTGCTAGATGGTCATTCAAGCAACATATCCAAGTGCATTGATGTGAAAAATATTCGATTGAATGGGACGTTAAAAATTCATGATTGTCATATCTTGACGGAGCAGTTTTTACCATTGGCCATGCGGGTAGGATTGCCTAATAAGGTGTCAACAATTTTGATTAAGTTATGCTCATTCTTTAGGCAATTATGTAGTAAAGCATGCATTGAGTGTGAGAACTTTAGACAAAATGCAATAACATGATGTTGTGCTCACTCTATGCCACATGGAAATGTTATTTCGTCTTTCCTTTTTCATAGTCATGGTTCACTTAATCGTTTACCTCATTGATGAAGCTAAGCTTGGAGGACCGGTATATTATCAATGGATGTATCTTATATAAAGGTAAAATTTGTATGCCCAATATTTTTTTAGCAATATAGTATCCAAGATTATTATTAATAAGATTGTTTGTTATAATTTAATAGGTACCTAGGATCATTAAAATCTTATGTATGCAACAGGGCACGACCAAAAGGCTATATAGCAGAAGGTTACCTAATGGAAAATATTGTAACATTTTGTTCAAGATATTTAGATAACACTGAAACAAGATGGAATTGACATCATCATGTTGATGATGAACCTAATGATATACCTTGTAAAACACGAGTAGATGAATTGTTTCCACAAGTTGGAAAAGTGATTGGTGGTTCTTCTTATTTCACTCTTACAACCATGGAAAAGTTACAAGCTTAAAGACATGTCCAAACCAATTGTTTCATAGTGGATCGCTATCTCCAGTGAGTACTTAAAATGGTTTACTTGAATTATCTTTTCATACGTCTATTAACTTAAATCTATATAGGAAATTTAGAGAATTTATGTAAAGGCAACTAAGAAAGCATACAAGGAATACTAATGACATAGACAAGAAGGTTTATAAAGAGTTTGTGGGTTGGTTTTCTGATCATGTAAGTAAAACTTCACTCAATAATGGCATACGTATATTGCATTTATTTTACTAGTATACATGTCACTAACACTACAACATTTTTTTTTCGATTGTTAAAGATGTGAACAATCTTAATGAGTTAGATAAAGTTATTCTTCTCTGTCTTGCTCAAGGTCCTGAAAGCCATGCTAAAAGGTTTTCTGCCTACAATGTCAATGGATATAAATTTAGAACATTGGAATGAGATAAAGGCACTAGTGGAAAAAACATTTTTAAAATTGGTCATTTTTTACTTTTAAAATCGATTCTTTGACCAATTTTAAAAGAGCCGATTTTAAAAAGTGCGACTTTTAACATCGGTTATGGCATGATCGATGTTAAAAGTGGTTAATTTTTTTTTTAAATAATTGACTTGTTTTAGGAGGATCCCTGAACAAAACCTACAAATTAATAAAATACCAGACAATTCATATGTTTTCAATGGACCAAATTACATACAAATGACAAGAGTTGGTAAATGTCAACCATATATGTAATCAAAGTAACTTACAAATTATTATGCATCTAAACTACAAAATGAGTAAAAC